GGTCTCACTAGGCTAAAATCAAGGATCAGCAGGGCTACATTCCTTTCTGAAAGTTCTAAGGGAGAATCAATTACCTTACCTTTTCCATCTTCTAGAGACTATCCACATTCCTTGGCTCATGGCCCCTTCCTTCATCTTCAAAGCAAACAAAATTGGTCCAGTCCTCCTCACATCACACTACTCTGACCGTCCTTTTATAGCCATGTATCCCTGTGACCACAACCAGGAAAGGTTCTTCATCTTTAAGGAATCATGTGATTAGGTTGGGTGCACCTAAATAATCCAGGACAATCTCCCCATTTCAAGGTCCTTAATTTTAATGGCATCTGCAAAGTCCCTTTTGCCATGTAAGGTAACATATTCACAGGTTCCCAGGATACGATATGGACATATCTGGGAGCTATTATTCTGCCTACCACACATGCAAACATTAATAATGAGAAAGCTGGAGTAGCTATCAGACAATTACACATGGGACATTCATCAAAAGAGACCGTACATTGGACCATATAAAAGTTCCGATAAATTTTAAAATATTGAACTCATATGGCGTATGTCCTCTGACCACAAAAGAATTAAATTAGAAATCAATAAGAGAAAGATTTGGAAGCAAGAAGAGAAATTATAAAATATTTTGCACTGAATGAAAATGAAAACAAAACTTGCGGGATGCAACTAAAACAGTGCTTAGTGGGAACTTCAGAGCTTTAAGTGCTTGTATTAAAAGAGAAGAAAGGTCTAAAGTCAATTATGGAAGCTTTATTCTTAAGCTGGTTAAAGAAGAGCAAATGGAAACAAAAGTAGGTAGAAAAAGGAAAAAATAAAGGCAAGAGAGGAAATCAATGAAATAGAAAATAGACAAACAATAGAGAAAAATCAATGACATCAAAACTGGTTGTTTGAAAATATCTTAAAAATAAATAAATCTCTAGCCAGACTGATTAAAGAAAAAAAAATACCTAAATTACCAATATTGGGAATAAAAGAGGAGACATCACTACACAGCCTACAGACATTAAAAGATTGGTAGGAAAATATTATAAACAACTTCATGCCAACAATTTGGACAACTCAGATGAAACAGATACATTCCTGAAAGACACATGTATTCATTTCCTATTGCTGCTGTTTAATTACCACAAACATAATGACTTAAAACACAAATTTGTTATCTTACAGTTCTGGAAGTCAGAAGTCCAAAATTCGTTTCACCTGGCTGAAATCAAGGTATTGGCAGGATTGCATTCCTTCTGGAGGCTCTGGAGAAGAATCGGTTTCCCCTTTTCCATCTTCTATAGGCCACCTGCATTCCCTTGGCTTCTGGTTCCCAGATAGCAATTGCTTCACTCTGACCTCTGCTTCTGTTGTCACAATCTCCTCTCTGACACTCTCAGCTCCCTCTTATAAAGACTCTTGTGATTACATTGAACTCATCCAGATAATCCAGGATAATCTACCCATTTCAAGATTTTTAATTTAATCACACGTTTAAAGTCACTTTTGCTACGTAAGGTAACACCTTCACAGGTTTTGGAGATTAAGACATAGACATCTTTGGGATGTCATTCTGCCTACCAGAGGGACAAATTACTGAAATGGATACACAAAGAAATAGAATATTTGAGTAGCCCCATATCTATTAAAGAACTTGAATTTGTAGTTAAAAATCTTCCCACAAAGAAACCTCCAGGCTGGGATGGCTTCAATGGTGAATGCTGTCAAAGATTTAAGGAAGAAATGAACTTTGACTCTTCATACCAAACACAAAAATTAACCCAAAATGGACCATAGACCTAAACATAAAAGGAAAAGTGATAAAACTTCTAGAATAAAACGTAGGAGAATATGTTTTTGGCTTTGGGAATAGAGAAAGAATTTTTAGATAGGACACAAAAAGCATTAATTATAAAAGAAAAAAATGAATGTTTTTCTTTATCAAAATAAAAACTTTTGCTCTTCAAAAGACAATGTTAAGAAAATGAAAAGGCAAGCCATTGACTGGAGAAAATATTTGCAATACATACATCTGAACAAGGCTGTTTTCCAGAATAAATAAAGAGCTCTTACAACTCAATAATAAGAAGACAATTCAACAGAAACAGTGAGCGAAGAAGATATACAAATAGCCATAAGCGCACGAGAAGATGCCCAACAGCATCTGTCATCAGGGAAATACTTATTAAAGCCATCTTGATATACTACTAACTCACTCAAATTGAAAAAATCAAAAGAGGCTAAAAATAGCAAGTGTCAGCAAGGATAGGAAACACTTGAATGTCTCATACATTGCTGATGAGAATAAAAAATAGTACAAAGACTCTGGAAAACAATTTGGCAGTTTCTTATTAAGTTAATTAATACTTAGAACATGACTCAGCAATTCCAATTCTAGCTTTTTCTTCCAGATAAAACATATGAAACATAAAATATGTGAAAACGTACATGCACAGAAAACATATGAAAAAAACACGAGAACATATGTCCAAGCAAAAACTTGTCCATTAATGATCATGGCAGCTTCATTCAAAATACCTCAAACCTGGGAACAACCGCAACATCCACAAACAGGTGAGTAGATAAATTATGGCATTCCCATACCATCGAATACTACTCAGAAATGAAAAGGAACAAACTATTGATACCTATAGCAGGATAGATGAACATCAAAAGCATTATGCTGGGCAAAAAGAAAGACACAAAAGAGTATATACACTGTATCATTGCCATTTATGTGAAATTCTAGAACAGGCAAAACTAATTTATCTTGACAGAAAGTAGATCAGTGGTTGACTGGGGTGAGGAAGAGAGGAATTGACTGCAAAAGGGCATGAGGTTACTTTTTGCAGTGATGGAAATTTTGATTACATGGGTGTAGGCATTTGTTAAAATTCATTGAACTGTGCACTCAAAGTGGGTGCATATTATTACATGTAAATTGTAGCTCAATAAAGTTGATTTTTTTAAATAAAAGAAAAAGTTAAAAAATGAAAACACTTGGGCCCAATTCCTAGTGATTTCAACACAGCAGGACTAATATGGGGCCCAAAAACCTGCATTTTAAACAAGCCCCATGGTGCTTATGCCACAGGCTATTTTACTTATAGAAATAGTATTGGTCTCCATCAACACCCAACTCTTGGACAACAAGTCAACTAGGCAAGCAAAGACAATTCAGAAGAAAAGTGTTTGAGTTTTCGTGGGCCTTCATTCCATCCCACACCTCCCTTCTTTAGCAGGAAAACCGATCACCACCAAAGTATACTCCTGGGTACCCTGTCCTCCCAACTGTTGGCTCAGCTGTGGCTAAACCTCCTTCACTCATGCTTTACCAAAGGAAGTCTGCTAGGAAAACAAATGTGAGAAAAGCAAAATAAAAACACATTACAAGTGCAGAGAAACCAATATATTTGCAAAGCACAGATCCCTTCGCATAAGGTCATTCACGTCTGGTACCAGATGGGCTTGGCTTTTCTAGCTCACTGGACACACTCACAGATATGTCTACCTTGGGACAACAGCAAGTAGACAGGGGGCCTGAGAGTCCACCTGTGTGGAGAATGGAACAGAACAACAGCAGATATGCTAAGAGCACTTATAGCCCAGAGGCAAAGGTCATTTCCCTGAATTAAACTAAAGTGCTCTATTTCCATTCCGAAGTCTTTTCCTGCTGTCTGACACATCTTTCCCATCTTGTGGTCCCCTGTTCTGTCCACCTGTTGAAATCCTCCCCATCCTTCATGGCCCACCTTGAATAAAACCTCCTTCTTATCCGATCACCATAATTAAACACAACATCCCCCTCCCCCAAATTGCTTTGGCACTCGGCTTGACGAGCTCTTACAGTCATTTTGATTTGTATTTTAGTTATTCATGTGCATGCTATATCTACTCTACCAGGTTGTAATCTCTTTGACTATAGAAATTATAACTTATTATCTATGCAACGTGTAGCCTGCATCGTTCCTAGCACATTACTTAGCGCTTAGTGGGTGTTTTATGTACATTTATTGTAGAAATTAATAACTGATTCAGTTCATGCTGATTCATTATCTCTGAGCTTTTGCTTATGCTGTTCCCTCTTTCTGGAAAATCCTTCCCACTTCAAGTGTTATTTCCTCCAATAAGCCTTCCCAGATCACCAAGCTGTGGGACTCCTATAGCGCATTGGGCGTATCTCTATCTTATCGCTTACAATCACCACTGTATATTGAAATTAAATATTTATTACCTGTTTCACCTACTTAGTGATAAACTTCAAGAAGCCAAAGTTTCCATCCTAGTCATCCTTATCTTACCACCACCTAGGCCAGTGTTTGGGAGTAGTATGCATTTCATAAATGTTTTTCAAGCTGAATGATCGCTTCAGAAGTTTCTGGAAGCATTAGCCCATGACACAGAGGGCTTGGTTTATTTAGTTTGTGTTCCTATTAGAGTGGCCAAAACTGTCCTGAGGTCCCATTCCCAGAGAAAACCCAGCATAAACAGCCTTCCCACCCTAAGTTTCCTCCTGGCTGAAGGAAGGAGTAGGGCCGGATGTTCTCTAGGGTCCCTTAGAGGCCTACGATCCTTGTGTTCCGGGGACTTTCCCAGCAGAATAGATTGTTGAGTACAAAAGAGCAAATGTGGCCTCTCCTCAGAAGGTCTTTAAGACGGACGCCCAGCTTCTGGGAAAAAGAATTCGTGACCCTTTCAGAGTCCCATGACTTCCTCTTCTTACATACATTTCTCTCTCCTACCCGTCCCACCGCACTTTCCCAGTATCACTACTTCCGCCTCGCCCGCTTTCTCTTTCTCGCTAGATTTACCTTGGCCATCTCGGGTCTCCTCCGTTTATCCCGCTCCCTTACCCTCTCTTTCACTCGCCTCCTTCCTTTCCTGTCAGCCCTGCAGGATGCCGAACTCCTCACCAAGCCTAGAGGTGGGCGGGCGGGTGGGTGGGCCCTGGCGCCCGGTCCGCCCCTCGGTGCGTGTGTGAATGTCTGTGTGGCAGTGACGCGGCGCCGGCGGCGGGGAGGGAGGCTGGGCCCGCCGGAGAGGGAGGCGAGCGGATCGCTGGGGCTGCTCGGCTCCTGCGCGCCCTCGCGCTCCCCGCCGCCCGCCCAGGCGCAGGCAGGGCGCAGGCGGCGGCGGGCGGCATGGAGAGCCTGCTGGAGAACCCGGTGCGTGCCGTGCTCTACCTCAAGGAGCTCACGGCCATCGTGCAGAACCAGCAGAGCCTCATCCACACCCAGCGCCAGCGCATCGACGAGCTGGAGCGGCGGCTGGACGAGCTAAGCGCCGAGAACCGCAGCCTGTGGGAGCACCAGCAGCTGCTGCAAGCCCAGCCTCCTCCCGGGCTCGTCGCCCCGTCGCCTGCCCCGCTGCCGGCTACCCCAGCCACCGCCGCCGCCGCGGCCGGGGCCCAGGAACCGGTCCCGAACCACGGACAGCTCCAGCCCGCAGCGCCACAGCCCGCGCCGGAGCAGCCACCGCTTCAGCACCACGGACAGCTCCTGGCGCAGCCCCAGCCGGGCCCCAGCAGCAGGGCTCACGCACCCCAGTCGCCCCACCAGCACCCGGTGGCGCCCGGGGCCGCCGCCGACAAGGAGAAGGAGCGTCCCCCGAGTTGTTGCGCTGCCGCTGGAACCCTCCTTCAGCACAAATCCCCCGCCGCCCTCGGCAAGGGCGTCCTGAGCAGGAGACCCGAGTGAGTGGGGAAGACGAGATGGGGGCTGTTGTGGTGGGAGAAACGGAAGCAATGGGTGTGAGGAGGAGACAAGGGGGAAATCGGGTGCACCTGAGAATCTGAAGGACTAGGGTAACATGAAGTGAGAAGGTGCTTGGGGGTAGAAGTGTGTCAAGGAGGTTTGGGGGAAAGGAGGTAATGATATCAGCGTTTGAGAGGGTTTGGGGGGATGTTAGAGCAAAAGGGAATATCCAGACCATCATTGGGGGCAAGGCAGGAAAGGAAAGGTTTTAAGTGATTGAGGATGTTGGAAACTGGCAGGTTTTAAAAGGGACAAGATTGAGAGGAAGTTGGGGTAAAGATTAAACTGAAGAAAAGAAAACAGTTGAACATTTTTTTTAAGTTAGGAAAAATTTGGAAGGGAGTTTGGGCAGTAAAATTATTTGAATGGAGAGTGAGATATGAAAAAGAGGGAGGCTTGGCAAAGAGGTATGTTAAGAGCTTTAAAAGGCCTGGGTCCAGGAAGAGTAGAATTAGGGTCTACGGGAATTCAGGAGGCAGGGGATAAGGTGGAAAAGCAGGAATGATGAGAGAAAGCACGGGGCTGGAGGTAGAGGAAGATGAAGGGTAGGAGAAAGCATTTTCCACAGGAATAAGCTGGCTCTTAAACTGATGCAGTGGGAGTCAAAGCCAGGAGTGGCTCATTTGGGGAAGCTTACTCTGCTCTGACCTGAGTGGGCACCTTTTTTCTGAATCCCCACAGAACCAAAGAAGTGCAAGGAAACAACCCACCCAGCTAATGGAGGACTCAGTTATAGCATGAGGATTCAGTCTGGTTATAGCATTTTCCTCTGCCTCAAGGAGGATTTCTGTGCAGGGTGGTTGGCAGTCATGGAAAGGGAACAATGATGAAAGAGACAGTTGGCAAACGGAGTTGGTATTTGGATGTAATTCCTGTTTAAATCTCTCTGTTATGGCTAGTGACTGCAAACTTGTTTCCCCTCAGTTATTTGGTGATAACTGGACTCTCACATTGAGTCCCGAGATAAATATGCTCATTGACCCCCAGTGAGGGACTCTAGGACCTCAAGCTCCTCCTTACTCTCAATATCCATGAACTAGGAATATGGGAAGAAGAGATGAAAGAGGATAGGAGTATTCTCTCCTTTGTATTGGGAAGGCTGTGACCATGTTAGCTTCCTTTCTCTGATTAGACAGATGATGGGAGAACCTCATGGAAGAACAGCTCAGGGGAAATCAATACCTCGTCAGCACCTGACCCTGACTGTGGTGATGCTAAGAGCTGGGTTTGGGGGAGGAGGGAGGAGAGCCAAGAATCCCATCTCCATCCAGTCTCGGCGTGCTTTAGGTCTGCGGATACTTGTGCAGATTTGACGTATTCCTTAAAAACTCATTTTCTTTTCATATCTGCTGTAGACTTAGAGAAGTTGGGTCAGGACATGTTAGCTGACAGAGTAGATTTGACCAGAACCATGGGCTCTTAGGGGAACAGATCCAGGATAATCTGACTGGGCAGACCTATGGCATTTGATTCAAGCCCCAAGAAGATGTGGTTTTCTTCCCCAGCTCCCTCAATAGCCCATTGGCCCTTTCTTCAGCATCACAGTTTCCTTTCTGTCTCCGGCATAAAAAGCAGAAAGTCAATTTTCACCCAGTGCCCATGGCTCAAAAAAGGCAACGTCCTCCAAGATATGATGTGGATTTTTCCCCAAATAGAGGAAAAAGAACTCTTCCATTTCCCTGGGGGCAGCCACAGCTTCCTGGTAATTCTAGTTCATCATCTGATTCCTCTCTTTACGCCCTTTAGTGTCTCCCTTCTTTTTCCACTACATCCCCATTTTCTTTGCATCCCTTCAAGGGACTGTGTGCGCAAGAAGGATTGAGGAAAGACCATTTTTCTTAGACAAGGACTTTGCTGTGGCCCCTGCAGTAGCTTAGAGAGCCCAAACTCTCCTGCCTCGGTGCTCTTGCTGGGAATCCAAGGATTTAGGAACCACCTGGATTCCTATCCAGCCTCACATGTCAAAACCAGAAAGGAACTGTAGTGTCCTCATCTTTCCTTTTCTCTCGTCCTGCTTTTGCTTCCCAAGGGAGCAGAACAAAAATAAGAAATAATTAGAATGTGGAAGAGAGTGGAAGTTGTTGGAAATCTTTCACTTAGGAAGTTGTGCCAGGCACTAAGAGGTTAACGCCACCAGTAGCTCCTTGCTTCTCCAGATCCTCCAGCTTTTCCCCCTGCTCCCCAAGCCTGGACACCCAGAGACTTAGAGAGCGAGGATATGCATGCCTTCCCTCCTCCCTGCAGCCCTCTCTCCCCTTGGATGTGAAATCATGGACATCTTGGCTGGATGAATGCCTTTTGAACCACTCATTTATTCCCACTGTTTTGCTTAGCTTCAACCCAAGTTTCCCCCACAGAACCTCCAAAAGGAATCATCTTTGCTGACTACATGTTTGGACCCACCCTGCTGTCCACCCATGACCCCCATTTCATATGTTTGTCTTCCTCTGCCCATGCCTCTCAATGATGCAGGGCTAGATGCAGCCAGCAGGCAGAGAGATCTTCATGGACAGGGTGAGGTGAGGAGAGGAAAAGCAGAGCCAGCAGCTCTCTCTCTGATGTTTCTCCTGGGGATTTCCCTGCTGAATCAGTTCTCTATGGGGTGTGCTGAAGTAGGAGGAAGAGATGGCAGAGGGGGGATCTTCAGATCGTAATTTCGCTGTCAGTCTTTTCTCATTCCTTGATTTCCCTTCTCTGGCCTCATTAGAGTGAGAAGGTGGCCCTGGTGAGGCTGCTGATGGCTGGGAAGGGGTTCTCAGGAGCCAGGCATTGTATTAGATACATTATCTCACCACACAGTTGGTCTCTTACCCCCAGAACTCCTTTTCCTGCTCAAATCCAGGAGAAGACAGGAGCCCAGGGGAACCTGGGACACGGAAATAATATATCATTTAATTCTCATCAGGTCTGCATTAGTATGCAGCCTGGCCTCTCTCCTCCTTCAGCTGAGGGAGACACAGAGGTGGTGGCCTTGGGGTTTGGGCCAAGGAAGCAATGATGTGGGGGTGGATGGGTGCAGACATATCATGGAAGAAAGACTCTCAAAGGGTTAAAACTCTTTCTCTGCTTGCTTCCTGGCTCTTGCTAAGCTCCAGCCCCCACTGCTTTCGCCTCTTAATGAAAGCAGCAATCGTAGCTTCCCTCTTTATTTTTTCAATCAAAGCTCACAGCATCCACAGAATTGATTATCCCTTTCCCGGCTAGAGCCAGAGCCTTAGCCTGGCCTGGAAGGCTCCTCCTTGCCAGACAAGCGCTTGCCCCTACCTGAAGCTACTGGATTCAGTGCGACCACAGCTTCTCCGTTTGAGCACGTCTGCCCACCCACCCAGCCGTGCATTTAGCCGTGGACCCAGGCTTGCCCATGTCCCCAAGCCCATAGGCAGAGGATTACCGGAGGTTAGGTAAGATTCTTGCATATAATTTAAATTCAGCTCCTACTCCAAACTCCCACCTGCAAGTGGCTATCAAATCTGAATGGTTCAGCAGCTCCCGTCCTCTCCTCTCTTCCTCCCTCCCTTGTCTTCCTCTCATACTCCTCCTCTTTCTCACTACTTTCCTCCCCTTTTTCCTTCCTTCTCTCTTCTCCTCTTCTTCCCTCTCCCTCAAACACTTTCTCGCTCCCATATTTTCTTCCTTCTTTTGCTTTCTTCCTATCTTTTGCTTCCACTGAAGGTGCAGGGGGAAGTCTCCTCCTCTCGACTCCCGCCCTTTAAGCGTGAAGTACTTCTTGGGTCTTCTTTTGAGCTCCCTGGTCTCATACTGACGGGAGGCTGGATGGTGGCTAGAAGACTGCTGGATGTGCTTTCTAGCCTGAGCTGTCTAAGATGCTGATTGGAGCAGGTGTCTCTGCTCCTACTGAGTCAGTGTTGTCGGCCTAGAGATGGCAGCTGATGACTGGCCCATCCTGGGAACTACTAAGAGTGTGAAGGTCTGTCAGTCAGTCAACTCTATGCATCAAGTGTCCAGTCCATTCAAAAGTCTGCATTCTGTGCTGTGGAAAGATAGGAAAGAAGCAAACAGTCTGCTCAACCTATGCGAGACACATATCCAGAAACATCCAAGCGAGTGTAAGCGGATTGCAGCTGCTTAGAGCTGCCCTCTATCAGAACAGCGCAGGGTAAAAAGGGTGAGCATACAAACCATGTTCAGAGCCTAGAGAGGAGGTTTGCTTGGTTGGAGTCAAGGGTTTATGTCAGGAATAGTAAGAGCCAAGAATAACGGGAAGGGGGACAGACGCCAGAAGAGTCAGCCCTCGGAGACATCCGTATTGCATGTGCATAAACCCTCTCATGTTACAGTCCCCCTTACCCTAATCCCCTCAGGGCTAAACCCCTATCAACAGGGTAAGGAGAGCCTCAGGGTCTCTGTCTACCTTGAGCCTAGAAGGCCTGCTTGCTGAGCAAGCAACATTGTGGCCAAGGCTCGCCAACCTGCCTATCTTCCTCTTCCCCAGTCTCCGGTGGGGAGAGGACTTCTAGCTGGTAAGCTGGGAAATGGGGCAGGAATGAAGGCTCAGGAGAGGAGGAAGTGTGTGTCTTTCTGCTCACCTGGAAGCTGACACAGAGTGGGCACCTGTAAAGACTTGCTGGCTCCTTTCTTTCCAAGGGCCAGACCACTGCTCTTCCCTCCCTTTCATCCAAAAAGAACAGAATTCAAGAGAAACAAGTTTCCTCTGGGAAACTCCGTTGCCTCCCTCACCAGGCCCTGTGCCTTGCTCCACCCATCTCTCTCCTTGCTTACTCCCAAGCCCTTCCCAGACCCACACAGTTGCCACCATAGGGCCTCACAAAGGCATCCTGGCACGTTTTCCCATTGGCCTGAAACCAAGCAAGAGGAGCAGCCATTGGTCCTGCTGATTCAGCAAATATCTGCACAGCCTAAGTTTCAAAGGTCACTTATGAAAAAAGACAGATGGGGTCAGTTCTGGGTGGAGAGTCAA